ATCCAGATTGCCTGAGTGAATGTCTAGAGGTGTAGGCACCTCAGAATGATTGTGTTAAGCTAGCACTAAGTCCCTCCCCCATCCACCTTTACTCTTTTCTACACAATAAGGCTTTCAAATAAGTCATGGTTGTACGGCAGTGAAGCATCGGTGTTGAACACTGATGTCATGCTGTCGGTGATGATGATGATGGTGATGACGAGTTCACTTGATGTGCACCTGAGTCTCCCGTGAAAATCAAATTGATTTGCAAATGAGTGTATTTGTCGAAATCAGTCCAGTTTGGGTTCAAGTAGAACGTAAAGTTGACGGAAAGTCGGGGACTGCGCCTATCGTATAAGCCTTAAGAAGGGCGAAACTGGTCGTGGGCTATCGAAGTGCTTTCAGCAACCTCGTGAGTAGTTTGCTTTGTAAAAACTTCCAGCTTTCATTTCATGAACAGATCAATCACAAAATAAAGTAGGAACAGAGTGTGCATCCGTTGAACACTAGTTTTTGAATGAAGCGCTTGTAGAGTTACACAATTTCACATACGAAGGTCTGAGAATACCAAGGACTGATGTTACCCCACAAACTTCCGAATCACTCCTTGCTGAACGAAGGTGTGGGGGAGTGAAAGAAACCTAATAAAGGCTTTTGAGCTGCGGAAGTACCGGAATATCAGGTAGGCCATATGAATGTCACTGGTCAAGTTCCCCAATGTGTGAGAATGCAGTCAATGCAATATCTGCCCAAATGATGACTACCCAGAAGCCTGCTGACACTAGCATCCTGAGGGTCAAATGGAATTTTTTCTGTGGATGAATTCAAGACTAGTTAGAAGTAATATTTATAACACGGTAATATCTCAAAGATGTTTACAACATGGCTACCTATCAATCCGCTGTATGCCCGGCCAGACGAAGACTCTTCCGCCAGGAACTAACAGAGGACGGCGGTGATAACAACCTACGATTAGAGTTAGTATTACGTCTACAGTTAACTTCCACTCACCTGAAACCACCATCGCCTCATTCGGTCCACAAGTGTTAAATCCCCACCCCATCGCTTTGCCCAAGTTGTTACGCTAGATCACCGGCGTCCACACGACTGTACCGTAGCAATGGACCCAACGAGGCAACGCGCCGTAGGCGGAAGCCTTAGGGTTCTGATTGGTCGATACCATTGACCCTGACGTCCGCGACCTAGTAGCACGCGCCAAATGGAGCTACCAGAGATTTCACTGGTTTCCTGTAGGTCTAATACAGCTTCTCAGAAATTCACGGTAGGCGATGGGCTATTCGGATCAATAGTGAAGGTATGATCCGCGGTACGTTCGAAATCGGTCTCGTGTTTCCCTCGTGCAAATTTGTGAAAGAAGTTTTTTGTTTTTCAATCTAGTCGCAGAGTACACGCGAGTGATTGCTGAATTTTATTACTCTAACGAAACATTTGAGAGATAACCCTTGATATTTTGCGCACACTTCCTATTTTACATCTAGTCCGAAACATGACATCAATTTATACCGATTGCCCCCCTGCAGCCATTGATAGACCGCAACAGATGTGGGCGAAATGGCTGCCCGTCGAACGTCAAACGCGGGATGCAATGCCACACCTGCAAGGCCTGGTGAAATTTCAAACGCACGGGTTCACAGGACGACCAGATAAACCGACTAGCTAACTCTCCCGACCCGTTTGTCTGCGCCAGCTGCCTCTATGTTAAGGGTGTAATACATACCGCAGCAAAGAGGGGAGCCCTCAAAACTGTACCCAGTCCCCAGTGCAGACTCAGAAAGACGACTGTCAGTGTTCCGCTTTAATCGGCGAGAAATTACAGCGTCTTTCAAAGACGCTCGAGGACTCAGACACCAGGACTGCAGCGACATGGACGAAAGTTGACAAGGAACTTTCTTCGCTGAACCAATACCCCCGCGATATTCATACCGAGCCCTATGGCTGCGAAGAGAGTAATACAACTCTCTGACGCGGCTATGAACTGCGAAGAGATACAACTCTCTGACGCGGCTATGAAGACCGCGAAAGCGTCTCTAGTGGACAGGCGCCTAAGGGAAAGAAGACTGATAATCAATCTGTCATTCTCCGGAAAAACCACACCAGTGAAGCTGGCACAATCAATCCTTAGGAATGTCCTCACCAAGCCCGACCACTCGCTCCATGCAGGATGGTTACGCCAGAAGGGAAGCAAGCGAACGCTTGTACTTCTCGTCACTCTTTCTTCCCCATCTGAAGATCTTGGAGCGGGCTGGCGGCATTCAAAATGCCAACCCAATGGTCAGGCGTTTATCTGAGGATTGCCCTCTAGACGCTCGAAAGCTCGGTCACAACAGGTCAGGGGTGGAGGCACAAAACAGGCTTCCGCTGGGCATAAACTCATCCGACCCCAAACTCATGGCCAAGCCGATTGTGGCCATATCCCGTTGTGCTCCCGAAAGCAGGCCGACGAAACCAGCTGCGTCTCCGGACATCAGTTTATATTCGACCACCACAGGCCTCTCGCCCACCAGAAGCAGTGATGTCCTGGAGGAGGCAAACCTCGCTTGCAAGCAGCGCCCAAAGTACGTGGAGATATCAACGCCTATCTCCGTTACAGCTGCAGCCATGCACTCCTCAACAAAGCCACGGTCTCTGAACTGTACTGAGTCAGATGTGCAGGGACATGCATCGAAGCCAATCTTCAGCTCCACTCCGTCAGAAGTGGCCTCTCTGCTTATGGACACAACCGTCACCCAGGACCCCGACAGACTAAGCCATAAACATGACCACAGCCATCCGGTGAATCCCTTCTACATCGAGTTAGCCACGCTGATCGCCGGCGGATCAGGTGTCCACACAAACACGAAAGAAGAGCGACCGAAGCCAAACAAGCCACATAAGAACCACCTGATTAGAAAACTGCTATCTGGCTTTAAGGTGCGGTCCTCCGCAAAAACGAGCCCTTTGGGAGCGCCACCAAAATCATTACTTCTTGGTGCCGACACCCAGCGCCCAGGACCACACAGAGACACTTTCCCGGCGAAACCGCGCCAAAAAACCGAAGAAACCAGGAAGGAGAAAGCTTGCCGCAACTCCTCGATCAACATCAAATCTGGTCGCAAAAATGGGGGTGCTGAAAGAGCTACAAACAGCAACGGTCGAAATTTTCGCCCAGGGGGAAAAAGACTTCATCCCCCAAAGCCAAAACGCCCGAGCAAACCGGGCTCCCACGGAACGAAGAAAAACCTCGCAAGCGAAAAGCACCCCCAAAAACCACGAAGGCAGGAAGCAGACGACATCGCCCCAGCGACCCCTTCGTAGCCTTGGACTAAGACCCGCCGCATAACTATTAAGTCTGCTGACCACCCTGGTCACTCAACTTTCGGCTACTCACCCTCGGAGGCAGCGGAGACGGTTTTGAATTGCTTGTCCACAAACTGCCCTAGCCTTTTCAACAAACTCGGCGATGTTAAGCGGCCAGCTTTTCTTGAACAACCATCCATAATCGCACTCACAGAGACGTGGCTCACACCAGATGTCTCCGACGCGGAGATCTCGATAGACGGTTACTCCATTTTTCGAGCCGACTAAAAAGGAGGGCGGGAAATTAGGGTTGCTCTGTATTTACACGCGGCCCCACCAATCCCGATTGTCCTCTCGGACACCACCCCGCACCCTTTTGCGATGAGCTGTGGGTCCACATCCCGCTGCGCGGGTCCGATTCTCTCCTTCCCGGTGTGGTCCACCGTAGCCACTCGAGTCCCCCTGAAGATGACCAATTCCTCATACAAACCCTTGAGCAACTCTACTTCAACTACCACTTCACTCATCTCCTGCTGGTAGGTGACTTCAGCGCCCGAAAGCTTCCCGGATGGAACTCCGGCGCGTCGAATCGGGCTTACTTTTTGCAGCGGCGCTGTCTGAAGTCGTTCAATAGATCGCTTGGACTCAACATATCGTCGCGGCCAACAGATACCGCGCGGGCCAACTACCATCCCTCCTGGATTTGGTCATCTTCAACGAAAGGCACTTCGTTGACCAGGTAACAATTAACGCTCCACCGGGACATAGCGACCACTGTGTGTTGACCCTTGATTGCATCTGCCATTGGGCCAGAAATTCCGAACTCCAATCGTGGTTTCGAGAATTCTACCGTGCAGACTTCTCAGGAATGCGCATCTTTCTTGAACAAGTCACACTGCGACCAGCTCCAGCGGAAGAACTATATAGCACCATTGTGCAGAAAGTTCACGAGGCTGATGCGACGTTCGTCCGAAAAAACCAGCACGCAGTCGGATGAACCGCAGGCTGTCAAAAAGGATTCGGCGACTTCTGGAAAAAAGATCCCAACTCTTCAAAAAGTTCACTGCAGGGGATACAGAAGATGAGCTGGCATTTCGTAAGATGCGGACCCGCTGTAAATCAGAAACCCGAAAATGGAACACACGAAAACAAGCCACCAATCTGGACCTTGCTCGAAAAACACAAATTTGTCTTGTTCAAGTACATGAGACATCGCAGCAGAAACAAGCCATCCGCTTTCTCCTTGAGGGATAGAAACGAGGGACCGACGAATGGCACAACAGTGGTATCTGAGGTTTACAGAGAACACTATGCGTGTCTGTACTCAGCCCCTGCGTCTTCGTCACATCCACTCTTGTCAAGGTGGATCTACGAACAGCCCCTAACGGACTTGGTCTTTACGGTGGAGGACATTCGTCAACTCTTGCACAAGATCAACCCTTTTTAAGCGTTGGGGGCTGACGAGGTCCAACCAGGGATCACGAAAGAAACGTCCTCCACATTCGCAAATCAACTGCACCTAGTGTTTCGCCAGTCGCTTGATGAAGGCCGCCTTCCCTCTGCCTGGAAGGAAGCGATTGTCACGCCAATCTACAAAACTGGTGACCGACTATCGCCTGGCAGCTATAGGCCTATAAGCCTCACTAGCGTGCCGTGCAAGGTGATGGAACGCATTCTGAAGCGAGCCATCCTAGATCACCTTACTTCCAGCAATCTGATATCTCCAGCTCAACACGGATTTCTCCCAAACCGTTCTTGCGTAACAAACATGCTCGTGTTTATGGACAGCTTAACACAAACCAAGAACGAAGGACTCATATCGGATGCCATACTTTTCGACTTCTCAAAAGCATTTG